TGAGCTGGGAGCGCTGACACCACATGCCTCTGAGACAGCCAGATCCCACACAGAGCCCGTCTGGCGTTACCATCAGCTGTTCCCCAAGTCGAGGAAGCTCAGCGCACATACCGGCAGCATGGTTCACAGACATATGCAATGTTTTCATCTCCTTAACAAGACACGAGTGGCGCTGTCCTGACTGGGTCATCATAGTGAGCCCTTCTGAGTATATTAAAACCTAATAGAGGTATGACATGTGTGTTCCTGCCTGTTATGGAGTGGCACATCATCCATCAGAGTAACAGAAATCACAGTATTTTAAAACTCTGATTGGGAGACATTCAAAGTGTCTTAATGTATTATTGCAGTGCTGTAAAGAAATTATACTGCAGCACTCATGCAGGTATGAATTGTTTCAAGGCATGAAGTTACAAATTTCATAAAGTTCACGAGAGAAACTTCAATCCAGAAATGCAGATTCCTTTTTATCTTTTCAAAAATTAAATGCATTCATGTTAATGTTGTTCTTTTGTATTAAATAATACAATAATCCCAATAATATCCCATTATCCATCACATTAAGTTCAAAATTAAAAGTTCAAGCTTTTTATTCTCAACCGGCACTTCATTAAGACTGTGTCAGTCAAGGTATTTCATTGTAGAGAAATCCCATCCATGTATGTGAAACACACTTTCCTGTGGCTTGTTGATTTTTGCCGGCAGCTCTTATTTGGACTTGTGTGAACCCCTGGCCCCGCCCCTGGTCCCTCAACCCAGTCTGGGTCTTATTTAAGGGGCTCTTCCCACCCTCAGCCTTTGTCCCAGTGGAAGCATCCGCCTACCAGTGCACCTTGGTGAGTACATTCACAACTTGTTTTTCTTACTCGCTTTGGATATCTGTGTCACTTGCATGATTAGTTTCACAAAGTTGATGTGTTGTGCTTTGAGCTGATGAAACTTAAATGAATGGATGATGTACCTTCATGGCTTTCTCACGTTATAATGACTAACTGATAATGATGATGATACAGTTAAACCTGGAGTTACTGGTTATGTTAGGCTGACTGACATGGGATGTTGTAATTAACATGATTAGATGATGTGATTTTCTGTGACAAAGACGCTCCATGCTATAGAATGTATAGACAGAACAACATAGTGTCTCAAACATATCTTATGGGAGTATAACTTGGATCGGTGCACAAAAGCTGTGGAGAAGTCGGCCGTATCCACCTATGCTCCAATGAATGAAGCTAAAAGGCAGCTGGGGCACGGAGCCATGTTGTAATACAGAAGTGTCACGGTGTGCAGACAGATGAGTGCTGGCCTGGCTCTCAGACAAGCTCTCTCAGCCCTGAAATAGCAGGAGATGCAAATGTTACTTGTTTCACCCTGTTAAGCACAGTGCGGGCGCTGAGCTTAAAATAGACCACAGGTTTCTCTGTTATGCCCCTTTTTGGTGCTACCTCAGCAGCTCTGAGATGTCCCAGGAACAATCCCGGCTGCGGTGATATGGTATCAGTAGTTGTACAGCAAGGTTGGGACCAAAATAGCATCCAAAGGCATGTCTAATTAGCTCTCTAGTTATATCACCCATCGAGGTGGGTTGTATTTGTGTTTCAAAGTGATAATAACTTAAGCACTTATGAGAGGGTGTTGTCAGGTCTTCAAAGGCACACTGCATCACAGCTAATACCTATATTAATCATGAGGCTTTGGTCTAGTCACTTCATCCCATCATCAGCTAATCCAGCGATAAAGTGTCTGTGATTGTTCAATTATAACAGCTATGTATTCTATGACGGGCAGTTTAAACAGCTGTTCCTGATTCTCATCCTAAAGCCTCCTTGTGTTTCTTCCCCACCCCTCAAATGCCAGACCACCCCAGTAAAGCCTAATCATGTGTGACGACGAAGAGACTACCGCCCTTGTGTGCGACAATGGCTCTGGCTTGGTCAAGGCTGGGTTCGCCGGAGATGACGCTCCCCGTGCTGTCTTCCCCTCCATTGTTGGAAGGCCCCGCCACCAGGTAAGCTAAAACAAAAGAAATCTAAAAAACAACAACGACAGAAGTATAAGTAAGAGCAGCTTCTTCCTATGTCTTATGTTCCTCCTCTCGTGCTTCTTCCCTCAGGGTGTGATGGTGGGTATGGGTCAGAAGGACAGCTACGTAGGTGATGAGGCCCAGAGCAAGAGGGGTATCCTGACCCTGAAGTACCCCATCGAGCATGGCATCATCACCAACTGGGATGATATGGAGAAGGTGTGTGTTGACAGTGAACCATTCACAACATTCATGGCAGCTGACCGTCCGCATCCTTGAGAATTCTCAGCCGGGCCGCCATCGTAAAAGCTGCTTATATGCAGAGGACCTGGTTGTTGTTTGTTCAGTCGTGTCGTTCCAGTCCTGACATCAGCTGTTCTCTCTCCTCTGGCAGATCTGGCACCACACCTTTTACAATGAGCTGCGTGTGGCCCCTGAGGAGCACCCCACCCTGCTCACTGAAGCCCCCCTGAACCCCAAAGCCAACAGGGAGAAGATGACCCAGGTACTTTACAGTCACTACTCTACGCTCCGCGTTCACATATTTGTTCTCGGGTTGAGACAAAACTTTTTGCATTCTACTTGTTTTTTCTTGCAGATCATGTTTGAGACCTTCAACGTTCCCGCCATGTACGTGGCCATCCAGGCTGTCCTGTCCCTGTACGCCTCTGGCCGTACCACCGGTCAGTACACCGCATGCTTTTTCACATGTACCCAATTTAGTCTGTTGTCAGTTGCGCAATGAGTTAAAATAAGAGGACGTTGTGCTGCAAGGGAGAAACTGTTGAACATCTACACTCTGGGGCTGCCTGTTGTATAGATTCCTGTCTCATTGTCAAGAGGAGGTGCTAAGCTCTCTCCAGCCATGAGATGTCAGCGGCATTGTATACTTTACGATGTGACACATGCTTGAAGAGGGCATACCTTAACAGGCATGCATAGCTGACTCACTGTGGTCCTTTTCTGCTTGCCAAAGGTATCGTGCTGGACTCTGGTGATGGTGTGACCCACAATGTCCCCATCTATGAGGGTTACGCTCTGCCACACGCCATCATGCGTCTGGATCTGGCCGGTCGGGACCTGACTGACTACCTGATGAAGATCCTGACTGAGCGTGGCTACTCCTTTGTCACAACTGGTAGGTCTATGTCATTGTGGTTGATTTGTTTAATGAGAGAGGTGTGCAAGTGCTGTTTCTCAACACTCAAACTTTCTGCTCCATAGCTGAGCGTGAGATTGTGCGTGACATCAAGGAGAAGCTGTGCTACGTGGCTCTTGACTTTGAGAATGAGATGGCCACCGCCGCCTCCTCCTCCTCCCTGGAAAAGAGCTACGAGCTGCCCGACGGTCAGGTCATCACCATTGGTAATGAGCGTTTCCGTTGCCCAGAGACCCTCTTCCAGCCTTCTTTCATTGGTGAGTAATTGGTTGCATTTTTTTGTTGTTGTTGATAGATCTAATATGCAGTATATTGTCTCAAAACTCATCTTGTTTGCTTGTCTTCTACCAGGTATGGAGTCAGCTGGTATCCATGAGACCGCCTACAACAGCATCATGAAATGCGACATTGACATCCGTAAGGACCTGTACGCCAACAATGTGCTGTCTGGTGGTACCACCATGTACCCTGGTATTGCTGACCGTATGCAGAAGGAGATTACAGCTCTGGCCCCAAGCACCATGAAGATTAAGGTGAGAGAACTGCAAATGTTTTAAGTCATCACGTTTCAATCACAAAGCAAATTAAGACTCAATAAAAACTTAAATGGTGTTTACTCCTTGCTTAGATCATCGCTCCACCTGAGAGGAAGTACTCCGTCTGGATCGGTGGCTCCATCCTGGCCTCCCTGTCCACCTTCCAGCAGATGTGGATCAGCAAGCAGGAGTACGACGAGGCCGGCCCCTCCATTGTCCACAGAAAGTGCTTCTAAACACACAACCAACCTCCATCTGACCATGCATTTGTACGTGGTTGTCTCCTGTATATATATGTGTATGTTCTATTGTAATAAAGATACGCCCTTGTGAGAGTATCCCCTCTACTGTACTTTCTTACAGCAATACAAATACACAAAATAATGAGTAACCACGTATATATATACTGTGAGATGTGTCTTATGTCAGTCCATCTTCTGTCACTTGCCTTTATACCCACACCTGAATGATCAAGAGTTTGCTGAAACATGGCTGGTGATGCTTCCACCTAGTGGTCGAAGACAAAAGTGAACTTTCACTCTTAGTTGAGAAACTGAACAAATACTGCTATTGTCTTACTATCCTTCTTATCTCAGGCTATTTCTTTGTTGTAAAGATAATGGAGGAATAATGGATAAATATAGAAAGATTAAGTGAAGGGCTCATGCCAAAAATGAGACCTTTTTGGTACATGATGTTAGCCTACATGGGTTTCTTAAAGCCAAAAAACGGTGTGTATTAGGTTTAACTCTGGCAATACACAGTCGTGTTATAATATGACTTCTAGGTAATTTATTACAACATTTATTTCTTGGTCTTAGTATCTATGAGGAATGGCCATGTTACATGTAATTAACTGCAGTCCTCTACAGTCCTCTCATTCTTATTGAAGTTATCTCATTGAACAGGCTGAATATTGTTTTCAAAGGCATTATCAAATGATGTACACAGAGACAACATCCTGTTCCATAAATGCCCAAAAACCAGCTATTGGCATTTGTCAGTTACAACCAAGGATGTGGTTATGTGTATGATATGATCGTAATACGTGCAGTACAACTGTACTCGTATGCATCTACCATTTAAAAGGTGCGACTGGTTTGAACTACAGAGTCAACCGGTTGACAAAATGCGCACTTCATCTGGCCATAAAGAGACCTGCCCCGCCCGATTAGGCTGCCCTGGGTACTAAAACACGCGCCCCAGAGAATGTTGATTCGAACCGTTACCAGCCAATCACAGCACAGAGTGTAGGGAGCGCCGCCGTTTGAATGCTCTGCGGAAACAGTGAGTCAGGCTGCCAACCGATCCGACGAGCGAACCATACATAGCACAATGCAGTTAGCTAGCTAACGAAATACATCGAGGTATTTCATACAAATTGCCGTTTGACAGGAGGCAAACGTCAACTGTAAGTCGTGTGACAGCAATACGCTTTTTTCATTTTATTTTTCGTATGCGGATTGTTTATGTGACTTGCTAACACCTCACTGGCTAACGTTAGTGAGCTAACTGCACTGCAACAGAAGCAGGAAGCTAGCCACTAAATAGGTGCTCCATAATGTCACGTTAGTCCTGGCCAGAAGCGAGTGAACGAATTTGTTGCGAAGTTCTTCTGAAAGTACAAGGTAGGAGGAGTGTAACAATGAAAGTCATGGAGAAGAATGTGATGCGTCTGGTGGCTGTGCAACACCTCCGCGCAGCGTACGGGATAAAGACAAAGAACTGGAACAAAAACAAAGCAGCCAGCTGTAAGTCAACAGCCAGCTATTCGGTGAGTTCAAGAACAAAAATCTGTCAGCAATTTACTTGCGTTTCATTTGCAGTTAATTCTGAAACGTTTCGACTTGACAATCCGTTGTGGCAGACTCAACAAGTTCACAGCATCAGCCTCGGACACAGTATTATTTGTTTTTTTTTAAAGCAATTGAATCACATTACCATATTACTGAAAGCATCTCCCACTGATGGGACCCGTTTCTCCACAGGCCGTTGTCGCCCATGTCAGTCAGTGCAGATGCATTGTTTGGCTGATTATTCACACCATAAAGTTCGTAGAAAGCCGAGTCTAACACCACACACTATGGCAATGTTTTCTTAAAAATCTCTATGGCAGATTGTTGTGGTGTATTTTTTTTGTTGGCTTTTTGACAAAACTTGTAACTAATGTAGGATAAATTACATCTAGAGGATATGCCATTCCTAATTGAATGGCAGGTAATGTAATAACTGTGAAGGCCCTGTTTTCTTCTTGTGTACTTTACTTGTTATTGGCTCACAGGAGTCATGAGGCCTGTTGCAAGATAAGAGACTTTGTGACTTTTCAAATGAACACTGAACTTCTGCATGAGCAGGGAATGTCCTTAGATGTGGTAACAGAAAAGAAATTGCACAAACGTTAACTTGAAAAGCAGTGCGTCCAAGATTGTGACATAGGCGATCGGTTTAATAGAGTGATTTATCAGCTGGTTGGCCTCTTTTTCTCATATGGTGTAGCCTTCCTATTTATCATCTGACATGGATGAGTAATGTGTTATTTTGAATTGTTCCATTGTTCCCTCAGACAAAGGTTTTCGGGGTGTCCCTGGAGAGCTTACCGTATTATAATATGGAGTGTGGGAGCGTGCCGAGGCGAGTGAATATGCATATTTCCTTTTTAGTTTGAGCCTACAGCTGGCAAGTTATTTCTTGTCCTGTCCGGTACATTTATACTAATGATGTTTCACTGCCTTCTTAGCTTCCTGGTCGACGCGTGCATGGTGCTGCTGGCACATGTCGACACAGAGGGCCTGTTCAGAAAATCTGGCTCCGTTGTTCGCCTGAAAGCACTCAGGGTGAGTGATCGCTGAAGTTGACCATGGATCCACTGAGGGACCTTGACCCCGGAGAGAGGTTTTTCAGAGTGTGTTTTGTCTGTCCAGGCAAAACTGGATGCGGGCGAGGAATGCCTGTCCACCGCACTTCCCTGTGACGTGGCCGGTCTGGTGAAGCAGTTCTTCAGGGAGCTACCGGAGCCTGTGCTGCCCACGGAGCTGCAGGAGGCCTTCCTGAAGGCCCAGCAGCTCCCCGCCGAGGAGGATAGGACCTCTGCCACCATGCTGCTGTCCTGTGTTCTACCTGACAGAAACCTAAGCGTCCTGCGTCACTTTTTTGACTTCCTACACAATGTGTCTAGAAGGTGCTAGAATGTTTTTTACATCTAACATCCCCCCATTTAAATATCTTTTCATCAGTTTTTTCAAATACATTATACTTCTTTGCTTAATCACAGGAGTGCAGAGAACAAGATGGATAGCAGTAACTTGTCCGTAATCTTGGCTCCCAACATCCTTCACGCTGGAGACGGTACAGAGAAGATGAACGCCAACACCGAGAAGCGCCTCAAGCTGCAGGCGGCCATATTGCACAGCTTCATAGAGAACGCCCACAACTTTGGTAGGACGTGATGCATCTTACCTGCAGGTCACCTTTGTGTCACTCCAAAGCTTTTCAGTGCTAAAGATGTCGCTGTGTGTGTGTGTGTGTGTGTGTGTGTGTGTGTGTGTGTGTGTGTGT